CGACCATAATCATGATATTCAAGAATGTCATGTCTTGAAAAAAAAGATAAAAAGATTGATTACCAAAGGTCATGTCTAATATTTTGTTAAGAAGAAAATGCAACTATTCATACAACACAAAAAAACATCCTCACCTTAAATTACATGAGATTCAATAATGTTCAAAAATCATATCTCCACTTGAGAAAGCCTTTTAAACTTTTCAATAAAACTAATAGTGTTTCTCTATGTCTCCAATGAAAATCTTCATGTCTCCAAACAATTCTCCATTATGAAATCCCTATGTCTTTGATAAAAATATTCATGGCAAGATCTTCATATCTTTAAATGAATATTTATGTCTCTAATAAAAATCTCTATGGCAAGATCTTCATGTCTTCAAAAATAAATTCATTAAAGTCTTCAATCTCTTTATATAATGCTTTAATACTGCTTTCATGATCACAAAGCATTTTTTAAATTTTAATTAATAATATCCTATATTTTAAAAGGAACAAACAAATTAATCAAATCTTCATCTTTCTTGTAAAAAATCATTTATCTCTACTACAAGCTTTAAAAATGCCACAAAAAGATAATATCATTATAAAATAATAAATATTTTTCTCTTATTTCTTATGGTCAAGTCTTTCAAACACCATTATTTAAAAGACTTCAGAGATCAATGAAAGTGCACAAAAAAAATTTTCTAACCATTTAGGCTTCATCATAATCAATAAGGTCAAGCTCAAAGGCTAGATATTATAGGCCTAAACAAATAGAATCCTAGTCATTTTGGGATGGCTTAAATATTCTGTCATTCACTCACTCCCATCTTAACTCGGGTTGTTTAATATCACCTTCAACATACATCTTAATGCATTTTTTTAGCTTTAAGGAGTCGTGCACCATCTACTAATGCATGCACAATTATACTAATTCTTTATGGAAGCACACAAATTCTCTAAAAAGGGCATAGCACACCTCACACATACAAATTCTTAATATAGAACATAAACATCAACTTCTTCATTTAATGGCATAACAACACCATAAACCAACATCAATCTCTTCACTAATGATATCTAACTAATGATATCTAGTTTTCTCAACTCACTATAAAATCACTCTCCATCATTGCTCCACTTATCAAGATACCTACAACTCCACATATCATGAAATATCTACAACATCACTTTTTATAAGATATGTTGGCTTGACTAAAGGTTTATAAGGTCATTTGGTAAAATATTTAAACCAAGCCAAGACAAAGTAAGTTGAGCTTCACGCAATAGTTTATTCAACCAACACACTTTTTTCTTGCTCCTCACATTATTATTTTTTTCTTTTACATTTATTAACTTAAACATTGATGGTTTCAAGTATCAAAAATAGATTTGCGTTGCAAGAAACACCAAGCATAAAGAGAAAAGCCCACATTTAAGCTCAATTACCACAACCCAAGACACAACCATGAAAAACCCATTGTTGTTTCAGGTTTTCAAGACTTGATCACCAACATCATTGATTTCAAGAATAGTCAATCATTTGTTGTATTTCTATACAAGAAGGGAAATATTCCTTCTACAAAATTACAAAGCGAAATTCCGAGACCTTTTATTGATGACTGGCCGGAATGTTCATGATACAAAAGGAGGTGATTTCAACAGACTCTCCATGGCTGAGCTGAAGCCTGAAGGTGAGTTAGGATATTTTACAGATAATTATCAAGCCTACGGTTGAGATTGCCACTGTGTACCATTGTGGTTAATTACAGTTAAGCAAAATCTCAAGGGAAATTCAGGAATTTATTGAAGTGACCAGCAATTGCATTGATGATGCTCATACCAAAATCCATGCAAGGAAGAAATAACAAAACAAGGAAGAAATGGCAAAACATGTTATTATGCTAAAGTGGATTTAGCATCTTATTATGCCTGTCACAACCGCAGTCTGCTTTTATTTAATTTCATTCCACTTTGTGAAGCTGCAATCTGCTATTGGATTGAGTGACCTGACTCAGAGTTTAGAATGACTTTGCTGTTCAACTACCTGATCAAGTTACAACCACACAAGGCATGGCCAACTAAAGACTTTTTCAATATGCAGACTAATAACATAAATGTACATCACAATTCCTGGCAATTGGGATAGGTATCGAGTGCTTCATGGCATTGAAAATGCAGATTTATCTTGTCCAGCGTAGGCACATCATCGTTATAAGTAACAATGCCTCGAAAAACCAACATGAGAATTGATTAGCATGGTTTCGGATAACTTGTGAAGTCATGATATACAAAAAACTAGGCACTCAATTATCCTTCACCTTTCAGGAATAGATAGGCAGTCATCCATATTTGCCTACATACAGAAGTCCGAAAAAATAATTGTTTCTCATTTTTACAATTCATGAGGCATACAATTTTTTGAACATCTTGACATGCATGATGACATATAGAGTTCTAAAAGATGCACAAACTTAGCAAAAGATCATATCAGTTTTTTCAGAAACAGGAAGATTATCAAAAGAAATTAAAACTCAAACTGCAGATGGTTTTTCATACGCATACATTTAAATGCAAGATGTTTTCTCAGCTTGTTCTAGCCAAAATCGGTCCTAGGTGTCATCCATGTTACATCATCAGTACATGGACTGTTATCTCCTGTTAAATTCATTGTTTCATCGGAATCCTCTGACAAAACAGACTGAAATCCCACTGCTGGTTTCCTCCATGGTAAAACAGGAAGTGGCGCTTCGCCTCTAAGAATCATAGCTGCCTCCTTAACTGTTGGCCTCTTCTCATGATTGGGTTGCACACAAGAAAGTCCCACCATGAGCATCCTCTCAACTTCCAGTGTATTAAACATCCCTACCAACTTTGAATCAGCAGCCCCTATCAGTTTCCCTTTCTCCCAAAAGCTCCATACCCGATCGACCAGCACTGCACCAACATCATCTACAGGTCTTTTTCCCGTGGCTACTTCTAGCATCACCACACCAAAGCTGTAAACATCAGATTTCACCGATGGAACACCAGAGTAAACATACTCAGGAGCGAGATATCCTGATGTCCCAGCTGGTATAGTAGCTGCTCTCATCACAGAACTATGTTCATAGACTTCCGCTAAACCGAAATCTCCAAGCTTGGCATTGAATTCTGCATCAAGCAATATATTGCAAGCTTTCACATCTCTATGAATTATCTGTCTCTCACATTCTTCGTGTAAATATGAAAGAGCAGAAGCCAGTCCAAGGACTATATTTAATCTTTGCTTCCACAAGAGAAAAATTGCAGAGCTGGAGTTCTTGTGAAGGACTTTGTTAAGGCTACCATTGGGCAAGTATTCATAGACCAGAGCTAATACCGTTCCCTCACAACACCATCCTTGAAGCTGAACCAAGTTCTCATGTCTTAAGCAACATACCATTGTTGCAAACTCAGTGATGAAAGGATTGCGAGCACATTCAATCCCTGCCTGATCAAACCTCTTAACCGCCACTGATCCACGAGAGGACAGATACCCTTTAAAAACTGTAGCAGAAGCGCCTTGACCAATAATTCTGCTTCGGTGAAATCCCATTGTTGCTGACCTAATCTCAGTAATTGACAAACTTCTTGGTACTCTATTAATTCGGCCTTCTTTAGTTCTTCCGCCAACACCCTTTCTTTTCTTTATCGCAAAGAAAATGATAACAAAAAGAACTACAATTATGGAGACAGTAAATGCAGCCAAACCTCCCAATCCCAAAGCCATTTCTAGTAGCTTTTTTTTCCTTCCATTTTGAGTACCGGGCCCGTAATTGTACTTTGGATTCTCTGCATAACACATTAAACAATCCCCCTTTTCACTTGTATCTCTAGGTGTCACGGACGAGAGAGTCGCATAGGTTTTGAACCGCCAATGATCAACAATGTGAACGGCTGAACCCTGACCATTCGAAGCAGAGAAACCAACATGCATGTACTCTTTGAAATGCTGAGAGAGATCAACCTGAGCCACAAGAATAGGACTTGGTGGCCTGACTTGAAAGTAACTGACCCACACCTGAATCAACTTGGATGAATCTGAGTACTCAATCCAAGCCGTGATCTGCCTTCCACTTTGTAGATCAATCCCTACCGACACAGCATCAATTGCAGCAAGAGAGACAATCGTGTTAGCATCAATTCCAATGTGATTGCTACTTATATCACCAAGCGAAGGATCAGAACTTGTATCAAATTCCACAGCAATGAATGAATCTTGAGGGTTTAAGGCTGGTTCTGGAAGACCCATGTACCCTTTTGAGAGACTAAAAGAATCAGCATTAGAGGTAATCAAGAATGCCATACCATCACCAAAAGAACTAAGTGGGGATCGAATAATGGAAAATGAAAATCGACAAAAGAAAGACGCGGTTGTGTTAGTTATAGGATCAAGAAACCTAATTGGGTACAGGTAGAGAGCTTTCCCAACCCCATTAGAAGATGATGATGATGATGATGAAACAGGGCAGGTGTGTTGTTGAGTAAGACTAATGGCATTGTTTCTGAGATGTGCATCACCATAGAGAGTAACATTTCTATCTGGCAAGAAAGAGACGGAAAGAGAGGGAAAGCTGAAGTCAAGTAAGAGAAAGAAGTAGAGCAAGAAGAGAAGAAAAGAAAACGAACGCATTGAAATCACAGATATGATTATCTGATAGTTGGATATAGAGAAGTTGCTCTTGTAAGAAACACAAGATTTGAGAACCCAAAACTGAATCTTTCTTGCTTATCTGATGCTATGATCTGTTTCTCTTGGCCTGAGAGAATTTGGAGGGAAAAGACCTGCAGTTCGCAGCTGATCAAAATGTATATAGAGAATGGGCTTTCCTTTGGGATTATCAGTCATTGGTCTTGTAGTCTCTTTTTGTTATCTTGAGCTTGTTTTATGATTTGCAATGCTGTGGGCTTAAAATAAGCGGCACAAGAAAAAGGCCGTCTTTTGGTAGTAGCTGGTGCGTTGGTGCCTTCTTCTAACGGCACCGTTTGTGGTCTCTCATGTAAATGTTGGCTTCCAAAAACCCTTAGAAAGAAGATGAGAGGCTGGTAGCGAAAGAAGTGTTTTTTTCCCCCACAGAAATGGAGGCAAATCTGTGTGCATCTCTAGGCCTCCCATCTCCAAACTCTCAAAATCACCACGATCCAGCAATCCAAACTGACCTCACTAACCTCTTCACTCAATTCTCCTCTCTTATATTGATTAAAAACCCAGAAAAACCGACCAAAACCCGCTATAAAACCACCCTCCCATTTGCCTCAAACTCCTTAGATTCCCAGATTTTTGCACCAAAAAGCCCAAAATGGCTCCAATCCACCTCAACAAACAGCCCCAAAGTCCAATCTTTAATGAAAAACCTCTCTGTTTTTGAGAGAGCACTTATAGGAGCAGGTGGCGGCGGCATAGCTGGTGCATTTACTTATGTGTGTCTGCACCCGCTTGATACAATTAAAACGAAGTTGCAAACAAAGGGTGCATCTCAGATTTATAAAAATACACTTGATGCTGTGATTAAGACCTTCCAAGATAAAGGGATTTTGGGGTTTTATAGTGGTGTATCTGCTGTGATTGTGGGTTCTACTGCATCTTCAGCCGTGTATTTTGGTACTTGTGAGTTTGGTAAATCAATTTTGTCAAAATTTGAGAAGTACCCATCCGTGCTTATCCCTCCAACTGCGGGTGCAATGGGCAATATTGTGTCATCAGCAATAATGGTGCCTAAAGAATTGATTACGCAGCAAATGCAAGCTGGTGCAAAGGGGAGATCTTGGGAAGTTTTGCTGAGAATTTTGGAGAACGATGGCATCTTGGGCCTTTATGCAGGGTATTCTGCTACTTTGTTAAGGAATTTGCCTGCTGGTGTGCTGAGTTATTCTTCATTCGAGTATTTAAAAGCTGCTGTTTTGACTAAGACTAGAAAGAACAGTTTGCTGCCAATTGAAAGTGTGTGCTGTGGGGCACTGGCTGGGGCTATTTCAGCGTCTTTAACCACACCACTTGATGTAGTTAAGACCAGGTTGATGACCCAAATGAAAAAGGACGTTGTAGATAAGGCTGCAGCTGTAATGTATAGTGGTGTTTCGGCGACAGTGAAGCAGATTTTGACGGAGGAAGGGTGGGTAGGTTTTACTAGGGGAATGGGTCCTAGAGTGGTTCATAGTGCTTGCTTTTCGGCTTTGGGATACTTTGCATTTGAGACGGCAAGGCTTGCTATCCTGCATCGGTACTTGAGGCACAAGGAGTTGCGCGAGTTGGATGGTGCTCCTGCATGATTGGTGGCTGTGAATTGGGATTGATTGCCATTGCTGCTGGTAATTCTTGCCCCTTGTTTTTCTCGTTGGTTGCTTTATCTATTGGTGAAATGGTTGTAAACTATTTTTCGTTTCTGCATTTGTACACACTTGGAATAAGAAAATTCAACATGGTTGGTCTCTTATTATTAGCATGAAAGATATTGTGCTTGCAATACTGATTTAAAATTCTTGCATGAGTTCCAGTGAATCCACTTTCATTGTTTGTTGACTTAATTTCTTAATTGATTGCCACACATGCTCACGGTCTGAACATAAAGTCATTAGGTTTTATTGCTGGTGATTTATCAATTGACCACTGGCATGCATGTAAAATCTGAAGATACAATGGAGGTGATACTGTTTTGTTACCATCAGCTACTTCCTGTACAGGACCCCTACCTAACTATTTTTTGTTATTATTCGCTTTTTGTTAGTTTTTCACTCAAATACCTGTGATTTAGTTGAGCACGCAGTTCCTTTTTAAACTTTGTTTTATTCCAATGATATTTTTTAGTGGAACCCAAGCTATCGGCTGAATCTAATTGCAATAGCAAGATGTTCCCTACGGAAACACACTGTGGAATGTATTTGCTAGAAACTAGAAAGGAATAGCTCTAGGCTGGTTTACTTATGCTTTTTTTCTACTAATAGTTGCTAGAAACCAGAGAGGAATGCTTTAGGCAACTTTACTTGCACATTGTTTGATTAATTTGTTCTCTTTGTTTTATTGTGGATGACCTGAATAGAGATTGTATGGCTATTTGCATTTATTGATTTATTTTTTTAATGAAAGGATTGGAGCGAATGTGAGAATAGAGAATGAAGTCTTTCTTTAACCATACCAAATGACGATTGCTTTATTTATAAAATGTCTTATAACTAACATTTGCACAAATTAATCTGTAAGAATGGGTTTATTTTACTCTCTAATTATAACTCACACAATTGGAAGCTTGTCAAATCAGTTAGAAGCAGCAGTAACTAGAAGAAAGTCAATCATCTGGAGTGTATGCATTACTTTTATTAGATGCACATCTTTATCTTCATACGGCTAAATTGATCTTTTTCTTTATGAGAAATTCAGCAACTGCATTCGGGCTCTACCATTCAGAGTTGCACTGATTGTTTTGTTACAGCAAATCAACCATAGAAAAACATTCAATGGTGTTGCTGCTTCTTTTTTGAGATGTTACTATCAGTAATAAGGATCAACCATAGAAAAACATTCAATGGTGTTGCTGCTTCTTTTTTGGGATGTTACTATCAGTAATAAGGATCATTTTTCTGCTTTGTGCTAACTAGGGTTTAAGATTAGACAATGATGTTGTTCTTTACAGTTGGTCATTATCTTGTATGAAAATGGAGTTAAAACTTCCTTTTTGTATTTTGCACAAGAAAACATTTGAATCTGACTGCATTTTTCACTTACAAACATGGAGACTAAGACAAGGAAATCAATGCCTTGTCTGCCTTACCTAAAAATATTTCCTTTTATTATTATTATCATTATCATTATCATTTGTTTGTTTGTTTTTTTTTTTTTTTTTCTTTGCATTTAAGCATTATCTTTTGATTAGACGCACATCAATTATTTTCCTAGATCCAATGTCATTTTACCCTTGCATGGCAATTTCTTGCTGCTTGAAATTTTGGGGTTCGGAGTTGCATAAAACAAATTATAAAGTCGAATGTTTAATAAACTTAATGTTAAATGATGAAATTAAAAAAACAATTAATTACAAAAAAATTATTTAAATCAACTCGAGATAACTTGTTATCTATAATCAAGTTCATGAAATGTTATATTCAATATGATTTGTTCTTTGTACTCTTATTATCTAATTATGATTATGGTTTGCAGCAGCACTAGACATTTAGAGTTGTTTTGATAAAAATGGATCGCTGCATCAACAAACTAATTGGTTGGCAGTTCAACAACAATGAATGGATTTAATACTGTTATGGAATGGAAGTATTAGGATTCAGATGGAAGCCTCGGGACCATAGCAAGGCCACATGTTTGCTAGCTCATTGGCTTTCTTCTTGGATAGAAGATGGTAACTTGCAGTGTAAGTTGTGGCAATGAGCTATTCAAAGCAGAGCTTAATGGCTTTGTGAATGATGAACTGAAGATGGCTTGATCGTCTTCTCTTGAAATGATATTTACTAAAACAAGTTGGAGACAAATAATGCTTGGCCTCAAGTTATCAATGTCTTTGACGTTCCCTTTCCCTGCACGTAGATGAAGCTGCAGAAAGCTGAGATTGAAAATAGGGGGATTCATTTGTAGAACTATCCAGGAAGTTGCTGACTTGCTGTGCGGACAAAATTTAAAAATCGTTGATTAGGGTTTTCGTGGCGTGGTTGCTCCCAAATTTTTTTAAATCAAGCCCAAATTTCTCCAAAACAAATTATTTCTATGAATAAATAAAAAGTTGTTAAAATAACAATTTTTAAAATTTTATTTAATTTTTCTTCTTTCTAAAATTAGAACCACTAAGAAGCTTGTGTATATTTAAAAAAAAAAATGAAAAATAACTTAAAATTTTATCATATTTGGTTGATTAATAAGTGAGCAATATAATTTGTTTTTTTAATTAATTTGATATTTTATTGATTTTTGATTTTATAAATATTTATTTTAAATTGAAAATTATATAAAAATAAAATTATTAAATTTAGTCTGGTTACAGGTTTTTAACCAATTAATTTCGCTTTCGGTTAAGGCTTGATGATTTTTTATTATATTAATTTATTTAATTAGATGTATGCATGAATTTTTTAAATTTCATTTAAGACTTTTTTTATAAAAAAAACATGTCATAAAAATCTAGATTTATATTTAAAGAAAAAAAATTTGATTTTTAAATTTCATTTAAGACTTTTTTATATACAAAAACATGTCATACAAATCTAGATTTATATTTAAATTAAAAAAATTTGATTTAAATACTTAAAAGTTGTATCTTTCAATGTAGGATAAAAAATATTTTCAAATAATTTTTTAAATTTTATTATTTATAATATGTATAGCTTATATTTATATGGATTACTTTGAAATTTTTTTATATAAAATATTAAAATCACAAATATTTTTTAAAATTTTTTAAATTAATCATGAGTTAACTAAAACTACTCCATATAACCAGAATTCTTAACCGAATCATAAACTTTCAAACCCGATTTAATAACTATAGGCAACTATAGGCAAACCCGTTTCCAAGTCAAGACACTTGTAGTAGTAGGAGGGGGACATAAACTTCCAAACCAGATTTAATAACTACAGGTAACTACAGGCAAACCCGTTTCCAAGTCGAGACACTTGTAGTAGTAGTAGGAGGACAGCTCCGCGGACATATGGCTGTCTTTTTAGGCTTGGGGTTCACACCTTGGGCTGAGGAGTCATGCCATGACTCGGGATTTCTATTTTTGGGCCTTCGAGTATTCATATGGAAACAGCAATATCCGTTAGTTCATGGACGCCCCCTTACATTTCCCTTTCCAAGGAAATCAATGGAGGCGTTAAAGGCTTCTGATTTCCTTCCTTCTATAAATAATCGCCTCACAAAGTAATTATTATAACTAATAAGATAGGAATTTTATGAAAATAATCCCTATCAACCGCACTGAGCTAATTTATATAAGGATATGAAAAGAGAGATACTTAGAATACACAGTTCACACCTTCGAAAGATATTCCTGCACCTTCATTAATGCTAACCTGCATCAGAAGTCCCTTGATCCAACAAGTGGACTTTCTTTCTTGTTTTTGCGAGGATCCAAGAAGTCGAAGGTCAACAACCACATTCAATTGCTCAACCTCCGAGCCTCACAACCCATCAAAGAGGAGACCCTTTAACTTTTTAAAGAGGCTAAAAAATAATGCAGCCTCGTGTGTGGAAACCCAAACAGAAGTCGTCGTGTTCCCCACATAATGAAGGAGATAAGATGATTTGTTTATTTATGTCTCCATTTTATCTCTTGCATGCTCATACATCTTCAACATGATACTTACCTAATATAACATGCATGTATGTGCATCATAAATGTGAGAATATGAAATGCTTGATGAGATTTTATTGCTACCATTTTCTTTTCATCTTTCACCCAGACATATGAATTACTTGATCCATGCATGTGATCACTTTGACATTCAAACATAAATTGTTTTTAGCATGTACAAATGTACCCAACACCCTTTTGGAAAAAGTACCAATGAATGGTCTTGCCAATTCTTTACAACTTTGGCAAAAATAAATAAATAAATAAAGAAGAATGTCATCATTCATACCCCTACTATAAAAGGTTTCGCTTACTGTTTTTCCTTCTAAAAGGTTTCAGAGCAAGTCGAAGTCACAAAAAACAAACTCGTTTTCACACTACAATGCGGGGTTGTATAAAAAAAATTTATTGAACATAATAATAAAAAAAAATCTAGCCAGCATATATAGAATTATTATGTATTTTTATTATTGAGTCCAGCCTAGAAATCAACTTTGAAATCATTTTACTTAACTCCTTATTTAGTCCTGATTTAATATTAAATTATATAAAAGTTAATATGATATAATTGAATTTTTCGATAGACATTCCTAAGAATTATAAAAAAATGAAATTTAAAAAAAAATTGGCATGAAGAACCTTCCAACTCAACTCTTAACTAGCCTAAATTTAAAATTAAATAATGTAGAAATTGTTCTAACATTACCTAGTTAACTGATCGGCTAGTAAAAAAATTAGGAGAGTAAAATTGACAAAAAAAAATTGATAAAATTAACAAAAAACAAATTCTCGATTCAACTCCTAATTTAAATCAGGTTTAAAATTAAATAATATAAGAGTTTTTTCAATATACTCTAGTTGACTTGGTCGATGTATAAATGTGTAAGAATTTTTTTAATATAATCTAATTAATTTGGTCAGTATATAAATATTACAAAATAGAAAGCTAATACTTTAGGTATAGCAATCCTTTTTTACTAAATAAAAATTTAGAAGAATTTTTACTAGTTATTAGTATGAATTACTATTAAAAACCGGACAATTACACGACTTATTGCATATAATAACTTAATTTTAGCGAGGATCCAAGAAGTCGAAGGTCAACAACCACATTCAATTGCTCAACCTCCGAGCCTCACAACCCATCAAAGAGGAGACCCTTTAACTTTTTAAAGAGGCTAAAAAATAATGCAGCCTCGTGTGTGGAAACCCAAACAGAAGTCGTCGTGTTCCCCACATAATGAAGGAGATAAGATGATTTGTTTATTTATGTCTCCATTTTATCTCTTGCATGCTCATACATCTTCAACATGATACTTACCTAATATAACATGCATGTATGTGCATCATAAATGTGAGAATATGAAATGCTTGATGAGATTTTATTGCTACCATTTTCTTTTCATCTTTCACCAAGACATGAATTACTTGATCCATGCATGTGATCATTTTGACATTCAAACATAAATTGTTTTTAGCATGTACACATGTACCCAAGACCCTTTTTGAAAAAGTACCAATGAATGGTCTTGCCAATCCTTCACAACTTTGGCAAAAATAAATAAATAAAGAAGAATGTCATCATTCATACCTCTACTATAAAAGGTTTTGCTTACTGTTTTTCCTTCTAAAAGGTTTCAGAGCAAGTCAAAGTCACAAAAAACAAACTCGTTTTCACACTACGGGGTTGTATAGAAAAAAAATCTTGAACATAATAATAAAAAAACATCTAGGTTATATAGAATTATTATGTACTTTTATTGAGTCCAGCCTAGGAATCAACTTTGAAATCATTTTACTTGACTCCTTGTTCAGTCCTGGTTTAACATTAAATCATGTGAATAATAATTATGTGAATAATAATTATGTGAAATTTATTTTAATATGATATAATTGATTTCTAAGAACTAAAAAAAATAAAAAGATAAAATTTAAAAAAAAATAGCATAAAGGACCTTCCAACTCAACTCTTGACTAGCCTAAATTTAAAATTAAATAATGTAGAAGTTGTCCTAAAATTACCTAGTTGACTGGCTGATCAATAAGAAAATTAAGAGTAAAATTAATAAAATAAATTGATGAAATTAATAAAAAAAACATCTCGATCCAACTCCTAATTTAAATCGGGTTTAAAATTAAATAGTGTAAGAGTTTTTTCAATATGCTTTAATTGACTTGGTCGGTGTATAAATGTGTAAGAGTTTTTTCAATATAATAATATTTGGTGTATAAATATCACAAAATAGAAAACTAATACTCTAGGTATAGCAATCCTTTGTAACAAAATAAGAATTTAGAAGATTTTTTACTAGTGATTAATATGAGACAATTACAAGACTTATTGTATGTAATAACTTAATTTTTTTAAAAAAAAATTAAATCTTTAAATAATTTTATATTTGTATACCAATATCTTAAAAAATTACAAATAAATTCATTTTATTATTTTGACTACGTGTATGATATTCAAAACCAACATTTCCCCTCAATTACTTAATACTCCTGGGGGATCTTATAATTCATTGATTATCACTTGCAAGATCAGTTTTCAGAGACTTTTAGATTGATTTATTTATTTGAAAATCATTTTCCTTCTACGAATCCTCCTTCCCAAACACTCAGACAGGTGCATCATTGGAAACCACAATACTTTGGTTAATAAATAATCTTTTAGTCAAGAAAGAAAAAGGCAAATCAATCTTCATCCAAATAATTGTAGAAACAGTTTCAACAAGTTCTTGATTATTAGTTTTCTTCGCCCAGTAAACCATCACAGTGATGCCAAGCAACAGCTTCAAATTGAAAAAAAAAAAAAAAACACCAGTGACAGAAAGGAAGCCGCATATGCTTTCTCAAAATAATTATTGGAAAACAAAGGATAAGTTGTTGATAAGGGGCAAATAATTATTGGAAAACAAAGGATAAGTTGTTAATAAGGGGCAAAAAAAAAAACATAAAGTGCTTTCTTTCTCCAGGCATCTTAAGCCAAGCAGTTGCAAAATATGGGATGGAACTACTCGATATGGTGTTATCGATCCCTCCTTTCTTTTGTTCTGTTTCCACAATGTATCAATTAGATGGTATATATATTATCTGATTTGGAAAAGGTATTGGAGCAATACTGAGTAAATTTCATTAGACACGAAGCTAAAGCTACAAGTTCAAATTCTATAAAAATGGGGGGAAATCGAGTCTTT